TTCTAAAAGCAGTCTTTTCCGCGTCCTCTTCAGCCATTTTAATCTGATTATATCCACTGAATCTATCCATGAATGAGAACATCTGGTGTCCCGAGGTGGCATCCACGAGGGTGTCGATGTGAGGAAGAGGGAATTCATCCTTCAGGCAAGATTTGTTCAAATCTCGAAAGTCTACACATACTCTGATTTGACTATTCTTCTTCTTTACTAGCACTATGTTTGCCAACCACGTGGGGTACTGTATTGGCCGGATGAAACCAGCCTATTGAAGTTTTTCAATCTCCTCCTTTATCTTCTCTTCGAGATCTGGATGATATTTTCGAGCAGCTTGCTTAATTGGCTTGGAGTTTGGGAACACATCAAGATGATAGGAGACTAGGTCAGGATCTAGTCCGGACATTTCTTTATATGACCAAGCAAACACATCTGAGTACCAGCTTATCAATTTTAATAACTGTTCCCGATTCTCTGGGCTAAGGCTCAAACTTATGAATATCGGCCTTGGAGCATCTTGTCCATCACTCAAATCTATTTCAATAAGTTGTTCGGGCTGAGGCTTCATTCAGTCTGCCACTAAGTCGATGGTTCTGGTAAAGTGCTAAGCCACACTCAATCCATCGTTTTACTGAATTAGTGTTTTGTTTAGTTCTTTATTTATTGCAAAAACGGCCGATCAGTGGTCTTCTTTCCCTCATCACTACCCGCCCAAAAAAAGAATACTTATAATTTTCTCTATCCAATTTGCCACTCCCACCGAATCCTATACAAGGATAAGTAGTAAATAGGTATGCAAGAAAGAACCCACTAGGTCTATTTGGACTCCCTAATAATACTACTTTGTTTGTAGAGCCACTGAGTTCTATTAACAAAACGAACCCAGTGGCTATCTGACATGTAATCCTGCTCACAGTAGTCCTCTATAGTAGCCCGCTAGTCCAAGAAACTATTAGGATCCAACACACTGTCAATCTGTAGCCTGAATTGTCACCGTCTTCTTTCCCCATTTAGCCTTAACACACTGATGATAACTTGATGGTACAGCCCCATATCTATGCATCCAGGTCCTCCCTAGAATGATGTGATAATTTGCCTCAGAATCGATAATATGGAACTTGGTGGCCGAGCGAATCTCTCCGACGGCTAAATCAACTGTTACGCATCCGATAGTAACTTTCCTTTCTCCACCGAAGCCAGTGATGACTATCGGCTGCTTCACAATGCGTTCTTCAGAGATTCCGGCCTTTTCTAGAGTAGCACGAGTCATAATGTTGATAGAGGTTCCGCTGTCTAGAAAGGCCCTTTTGAACTCAACTCCGTTAATAAAAGCAGTCACATAAAGCGGGCGATTGTGAGAAAAAGGATACTTTCGATCAGCCTCGGAGAAAGTAATGGCACTAGATTGCTCTTTTGCCTTCCTCGGGATAGACCCCTCAGTCGACATGCATTCCTCATGGTGTGCCTCGGCTATATTAATGATAGACTTGGTGATTTCCGTTCTTGCCTCCCAGGAAAGTCCAAGCTGGTCAAAGAACTGCTTGAACTTTACACAGTCTTGCAAGGTTTTGGCATAGTGATCTGGATCTTTTTCCACTCTTGGAGGCTTTTAGTTAACCATCTCCTCGGTCTCTTCAAAATAAGATACCACATAAACATGGTGTCCTTCTTTTCCGTAGTACTCTTCTCTTCCTTCTAGATCAAAGGGATCGTCGACATGAGTTGTGAAGGTTCTGCCCTCTGGATCGAGAGCACTTCCGTAGTAAATTTGCTCACCCTCTGGCTCAAGGATGTCGTCCAAATAATAATCATCGTCATCGAGATTGGCAATAGCCTCAATCATCGGGCCTTCATAAGCTATCATAGCAACATTCTTGCCCTTGTCTCGGTGCTGAGGATATGGTTGTTCTCGGATATCTTGAGTCCCTTGCTTTTTGAACCTCAATTCATCTGCCTCGACTTTATCTCTGAAGATTTTCCTGAGAGTCCAACACTTCTCTGTCGGATGTTTCAATGTACGATGGTAGACACAAAATTCAGGGCTCTCGCGGTCCTTTTTTTATGGCATTTCTTCGACATAAGGCAATTTTAGCTCTCCGTCGGCCACCCATTCCTTAACTAGAGCTTTCACTTCCTCGATTCCACATGGATAAGAAACATTCCCCTTTTCACCATTATATTGCTTTCTCTTCTGGCCTCTGTGACCTCCTCCTTGTGACTTTCGGGTATCTGGGGCAGAGGCAGTAGCAACAATAGGTCCACGAGACGATTTGAAGCTAGTCTTGTAACTGGCCTTAGATCCGGACTCCTGAGCCTGAGGAATGCTAATGTTCCAAGCTACTTCTATTAATGTTGAGAAGGTGGGTAGCTTGTGATTAACTAGAAACATTTTGTACCTGCTCAATGCCCCTTCTAGACAGATTTGAACCAGATAACTCTCCTCAACTGCTTCATGACAATCCACGGCCTTGTCCTGAAACCTTTTGACGTAGTCAAGGATGTCTTCACTTTCTTGTTGCTTCTCTTTACACAATGTAAGTGTGGTCACCTTCTCCGCCACTTGAAAGAACTTAGAGTAGAATTTGTTAACCATTTCCTCCCAACTTCGGACAGAGTTTGGGGCCAAATTAACATACCAACTATATGCTCGGTCGATAAGGGACTTAGAGAATTCTCTCAGCCAGAGGACGTGGTTTGAACCATGAATACCCAGAGTCTCGATGAATCGCATAACATGTTCTCGAGCATTTCCTTGTTTGTCATCGAACTTGATGAACTTCGGCACTGTATACCCCTCAGGGTATGGATAGCTCAGCATCTTAATGGGGTAAGGTGGCTTGACATCCGGATCAGGCAAAGAAGGTAAAGTCCTCTTGCCTCGTTCGAGATCGAACATGGCCTGCACATCGGCGAGAGTGAGAAACTGTTGAGGGAGAGAGTTTGATAGTGGTATTCCTGGAACTTGGCTTATGGACCCGAAGACTGAGCTAGGGGTGACTTGGCCATTCTGGTGCTGCGGATTCATTATTGGTGAGGACATTTGACGATACTGGCCATCAGCGCCTATAGACAAGCCAGTTGGTGATGGGATATTGAATTGAGGCCCATAGAGTCCACCGCACGGCGCCGCTATACCGGGTTGTGCTTGCAGATTTGTTGTTGGCACCAAAGGAGGCCCGGCTGGTACTTGAGTAACATTTACTGGTGGTGTAACAAGATTAAGTACGGGCAGAGCTCCCTTTTGCGCCATCATGCTCTTCATGTTTTCCTGGACACCAACAGTCGTCGGAGCGCCATTCATTACACCAAAAACTCCCCTAGTCACCATTGGATCTTGGCTTGGCACGCTATGGAGCCCGGGCATTGGCAAACTGCTGTCGCCTACTGCGGTTTGAGCATGTGTTACTGTGGCCGTGTTGCCATGAGCCATAGGCTGATTGGGGCCTACTTCTCCTTGGATTTGATTTTACGCTCCGGTTGGAATAACTCCACCACCCGTTTGATTTCCGTTTGGCGCTGGTGAAAAATTAGAACTCATCACCAACATGGTGTGAGTGAGATTCTGAAGAGTGGTAAGAATCTCCTGCTGAGTATTTTGAAGTCCTTGAATGGCTTCAAGAAAAATTGGTTGATCTGGAGCCATGGTTCTGTCATCACCACCATTAGAGGATCCTTGTTGGTGAACTTCACCTTCTCCCGCCATCCTTGTTGGAGTTGTGTGGATTCTAGATCTCGTTGAGACCATTAACCAATCCGCCTCCCCAGTGAAGTCACCAAAATATAGGAGAGGGTTCAAGAATGTTGTTGGAGAATTCGAAGACCTTCGAAGATCCTTGAAGAACAACTTCGAATTCTCTAGAAGATGATGAGAGGCTTAGATTCTTCAATAGTCTCAACTCAAGAACACAAGAGTAAAGGAGATGATGGAGATGAGAGATTAGGTGAAGAAGAAGGCAAAATAGCTAGAGAGAAAATAATGGCAAGGATCTCCCATGGATCTCCCACTTTCACTCTCAAGGTTGATAATGGAGATGGGAAATTAGTTCTTTCCCAAGAGTTAACTCTCCAAAAATCCATCCCTTGTAAAGCTATGGGTGGGTGCTATTTATAGACACCTCGTGATGTAGGATAGAGCCCATGTGCAAGGCACATGGGGAATATTCTCTCTAACCACCTTGTCCGATGAGGTGACCTCTCCGAGGATGAAGAAAACCCCGAAGAGGAGATCAACCTCTCGGTGAACCCTTCTTCTTAGCCACACCTAACCAATGATCCCCAATCATCCCAAAGGGTCAGGGGTAGTCCCAGAGGACATCCTGCCGCATAAGGGTCAGGGATAGTTCAAGAGAACGCCCTACCGCAAATATTGCCGAGTCTCAAGGACCCCCTAAATCGTGCCACCTCGACCCGGGTATAGGCTAGTTTAACCGAAGAGTGAATTTATCTCCACTTACCGTCCTCGGGATCGGGTCCTTTGTTCGAACTCCATTACCCCCATGGTTCTGGTACGTAGATCCCGGAAAGCTCCGAGTCCGCAAGTGTTCTGGACTCATTAATGGAGCGGCTTCTAGATTGCATCTGAATCCGTTCGAAGCCAAGTGCTTCGGATCTCTAGGTTCGTGGATCTGAACCCTTTCGAGTCCGAGTCTAAGTAAGTCTCTAAGTTCGTGGATCCGAACCCTTTCGAGGCTTAGAGAGATTCGGCCCGTTTGATGGCGATAAATTCAGGCCCACCAATCTTGGACTTGCGATAAATTCGGGTCCACTAATCTTGGACTATTGGACCTAATTAATTTAGTGGGCTCAAATTAGCTCCTCTTACAGAGCCAAGTTATTATCATAATTAGCATCATAGAAACAACCCCGAGACTTTGCATCTAGGATTAATTTCTTCCAAACAGAGCCACTATTGATTAATGTAGCACTATTCCCCAATATCCAAAGGTAATGTTGTACCAAGAAATCTCATTACAACAAATAGCAAGGTTAATTACCACAATGTTAAGTTAATACAAAAGCAATACCTTAGTCAGAGCCACATTAGTTCTTTGACGATTGGAAAGGAAGCCCACTGATCCACACCCATTACATCTCACGGTGGAGATAATTATCACATCCTCCTCACCGCCTTGAAATCCATCAACAGATCGAACACTGACAGAGAAGTTACTGTTTGCATCTGTACTGTATGTCTTTTCAAGTTTATGTTGAAGTGCAAATACTTTAGCCTTATATGCTGATATGCAACCAACCCTTACCTTCTGTTTTGAAGCCACCGATTCTGTAGAGGGGAAAATGCAATCATAAACCACACTTCTTGATTACAAATAAATTTTTTTATTGATAATAAAAGTACTTTTAAAGAGGGTTGCAACAATCTCAACGATCACAGCAACCTCCACCATGTTTTTCCTACTATGCCTGTCATCAAAGTCCTCTTTGCCATAGGCTACATTTATAAAAGAGTAGGAGCCAAACATCTTTCCTTGAAGGAAGCGTTTCTCACACGTTATCTCTTTGACATTCAGGCCATCCAAAATCTTTTTGTCGTAGAATTCCCTATTAAGATATAAGCTTATTGATGGATCCATTCTGTATTGGACTTCAAGAAGATGCTTCTTATGTCCTAATAACACCAGCCTCTCAAATAAGCTTCTTCCAAAGTCAGCCTTCTTGCAAATCTATTAATCATAAATTTTCAGAATGCCAATGGATGAAAAATTATAGTAAATTTTCAAAGATTAATGAACAAAAAGGAAATCAGATCAGAAACCTCGCTCTGGACCATTGCAGGCAGTTGTCGTTCATCTCCAATGAGTATAGCATGACGAAGACCAAAGAGCTGCAAGGGAATCGTGAATTCACATTCTTTGAGCTGTGCGGCCTCATCAATAACCAATAGTTCTAGCGGTGCCATTCCTTCTGTGTGCAATTTAACAGAGCTTGAAGCCGTGCAGAAGATCAAACATGTGGTATGCAAGCAAAATCTTCGGATTTGATAATATCCAGTAACATTGCATGGCACCACCGATAATTTTTCATGAAGGAATTTCAGTACTTCAAGACACTTTGTCTTGGCTAAACTCAACTTCGCTAAGCAGTTAATACTGTTTCCCACATCTTTAATTCCATTGAGGACTTCTCTCAAACCCTCATTTGCAAAACCACTAGTATGCAGCAAAGTTCCAACAGTCTTTACAGATCAACAGCTTTAATCATCTCCTTTGCTACTTCAAGTGAAATGAATGAAGTCGGCATATGGGTGTACAAATTTGTAAGACAAAAGGTCAACCGGTTTCCAATGAATTCATACCTCCTCTTGAAAAACTCATCAAAAGTCAAAAGGTTATCGCACTTCAATTGACTTTTTCTTTGACAAGGCTCCTTGTTCTATATTTTCTTGTTCTTGCTCTTTCTTTCCTTCAATGCTTGAACAATTGCCTTCTTCCAAATTTTCCTTTTATCCATGTCCTTCAAATCTTGATCACAGATATCACCCTCATTGTCTTGATTGTTATTTACCTTCCTAATTCCAAAAAATATCTCTTCCTCCTCGTCCTCATTGTCACCCTCATCCTTGTAATTTTTTGCATCTTCTTTTTCCAAATACAACTGGTACAGCCAAGGTTTTAAAAAGCGGCCGCAACCATTACGTAACGGTTTTGACGGTTACTGCCACCCGTTACGGCCGCTTTTGCAGTGTGAATGAGATTCACAGGTATATCGGTCGTAGCGGCTGCCGTAGCGGTCGTAACGGTGCTGTAACAGCCGTAACGATCTGTTACGCACCGTTACGTAACGGTTCCAAACTATTTCTTTCAAAAAAACACACAAAAAAAAGCTGAAAATGGGGGAAGAGAGATGGAGAGAAGAGGGAAGATAAAGAGAGAAAATGGAGGAGCAAGAGATAGAGAGAGAGAAAAGGAAAGATGAAGAACATGTTATTGATTTGTTGAAACTATAAGACCTATGATATTCTATGCAGCTGCTATCACTAAACAATTTTGTTTGTTTGTGTGTGTCTATCTATATATTGTTTGAAAATAATAATAATAATAATAATAATAAGTGCGGTCATTATCTATTTGGTTTGGTTAAAATATGTATATATATATATATTTAGGCTTTTATTTATTCTCTTACTTTTGTCATTGTTTATCTTATATATAATAGTTAGTGATTGATTTTTTATATAATATAAAGTCATTAATTATTAAATAAAATGTAAAAAATTCAGTTTATAGTGATTTAAAAATATGAAATATATTGAATCATGCTTAAAATTTTACAAAAATTAATCAATATTTATTTTTAACTCAATAAATATGATCATGGAAAAAAAATATGCGTATCGGTAAGTTTTTTTCAAATTGTGCGAAAAATAAAAAAATTCACGGTTCTGGTTACCGCAACCGTTACACTACGGCCTTTACATCACACAACCATAATCGCATCATCGCCACCGTTACGGCGACCGCAACCGCTTTTTAGAACCTTCGGTACAACAGTTCAGTGTCTTCAAGCAAACATATCATTGACTCCACACTACTATTGTTCCACCCGGACATTGGAGCAAAACAACTAGCAAGAACAGAGATGCGGTAATCAAGAAATACATCGATAAGGTCTTCATGATCATCGATCTTCGCTTTCTCCCCATTACAAAACAAAACTATATCTCCCAAACCTTAAGTATCATGCTGGAATGATTTTCTTACTAAACTCACAAGCCTTGTTGCAACTCCCACACTGCAATGTTAGTTGGAGCACAAGTCAGTGTTCTGCATTTCATCCTAAACAAAGCAAATAGTAATGAACCGTCTTCGTCTTCCCGGTCCCAGGAGGACCCCAAATTAGTTTGACAGAAATCTGATGATGACATTCTCTTGTATCCAAACAACTTAGAACAACTGCCTTTTGGGAATCGTCTAGATTGAAAGAACTGATGGCATTTCTAGCATTGTGTACAACAACACTGTCATTCTCTTGAGAGTCACACTGGGTACAATCTGTCTCCACCTGTAGAAAGAGTTCACACGAGAAAAATCAAAATGAAGAAAAATCAGCCTAAATTCACAGTAAGGAGAGAGAATCATATTAGATTCTTACATTGGGATCAATTTGAAGCACTGTTTTGATGATGTTCATGTTCCCCCCTTCAAGCTCCGAGTTCAATGCCCGTCCATATACGAACATTAGTCTTCATGTTTGTCAAAAAAACAACAAAAAGACTTTTCTTCTTCTTCCTATGCTCTTCTTTATCTGCATAAAAAGCAATGGGCTTTGAAGACCTAATTATAAGCTTATCATGATCATAACCATCCTTCATCCTCTGAACAACAGCAACAAGAAAAGGTGATTTGGGTTTGTTGAGATCATCAATGCATTTGGGCCTGACTTCTGTTAAGGCAATGAGGTCTTCAAACTCAGGCTCATAATTTGGTTACATGATCATTTGCAGTGTTGCCTCTCTTCAGTGAGATTTTGTAGAACAAGTCCTTGGGAGGCTTATAGTCTTTTGTTATTTCAAGAGACAATACTTGAGAGAAAGGTGCATGAGACAACCTTTCCAGGGATGAGAACAGATTAGCATGCGTTTCTTCAATGAGTGGGTTGATGAATGACTTCATGTAGTGTTCTGTTGATGAAAATGTCATTGGAATTTGCTTTACCTGTCAAAATGTTAAAATATTCAGTAATTCTATGGTCCAGAGAATGGGATCCAAAAACATGATTATCAAAACTATGGTTGAGAATTAGAGGTGTTGTGGGCTCGTATTTTTAGTAAATCTAAATCACTGATGTTGAATTCGGAATATTTTATGAATTTTTTGCTCTCAAACATTAGCTTTGCCCAGAGTGAAAATACTCACAAAATTGGACTGTATTGTACATGGATTTACAAAGGCTTTGTTTTTTTTTTTCTAATTTTTTTTTATAGTTGATTTGATAGTTGTGAGAGAAAAAATAAAATGTTATAAGTTATCTTATTAGTTATTTTAATCTATTTTGTCTTTTAATAAATTATTTTAGTTCAACCATTTTCCCAAACAAAGCCAAGATGAAAAAAAAATTCAAAAGTTGGCCTGCAAAAACTTGGTGTGGACTGGACCATTCAGCTTGGTTAATTGGGCCAAATGGCACATCAGGCGATATGTGATACATTCCAACAAACCTTCCTGGGCCACCGGATTGGACCATTCAGTTTGGTTAATTGGGCCAAATGGCACATCAGGCGATGTGTGACACATTCCAACAAACCTTTCTGGGCCGCCGGACAGACAGCACACCAGTCACATGCTCAACCAAATTCTGATACCAAATTGAAAAGCTCAGCCCACATTTTTTCTTAAAACCCAGGTATTAAGGAGAAAAAAACTGACACTTTATAATTAGCATAGATAGAGCAACTCCAGGTGATATGGGACACATTCCAACATATAGAGGTCCATTTCCATAATTCACAAACGATGGGGGAATCTATTTACACCAAAAAAATTATTAAGTACTCCTAATTTCTCAGTATACTTTATTCAATTGTTTAGGATTTTATGTTATTCTTAGTACACTCTAAAAATTTTCTTAAATTATCTTTCAAGTACACTTAAATAAAAACAAAGTCATCATATTCAAACTTAAAATGCCAAATAATATTGTTTGATTCAGATACCGTACTACTGCTGATTGATTTGATTTCAAGGTAGCCAACAACATTGAAATTGGGGACACATGTTTGTTCAAGGCAAGTTCTGTTAATGTCATTCATAAGGAGGTGCGACGTAATTACAAACAAAGTCATCATATTCAAACTTAAAATGCCAAATAATATTGTTTGATTCAGATACCGTACTACTGCTGATTGATTTGATTTCAAGGTAGCCAACAGCATTGAAATTGGGGACACATGTTTGTTCAAGTTCATTGCAAGTTCTGTTAATGTCATTCATAAGGAGGTGCGACGTAATTACAGTTGATGGCTGAAGCATTGGTTTTTTTATTTTTTTTGGTTGGGAAAAATAATTATTTGGATCTAAAAGTCTGAACGGTAATGATATTAAATAGGTTGAATATTCACTTTTATTTATAAAAAAAAATACAAAAATTAAAAATTATATTTTGATATTTATGTGAATACTTAGCTCATATGTACACTTTTGTGAGATGGAGAAATTTAAAAAAGTCGATAGCAGACCATGGAGAGATAGAGAAATTTTTGGATGAGCTACGTTGAAAACTGATTTGTACTCAACACTATATAACCATGCTGAGTTGGATAACTATTAATAGATATACATACATGAACACAATAGTCTATATATGTACACTTTTGTGATAATTTTAATATTTAGGAAAAGAAGAACTGAAGAATGATCAAAACCTGGTTCTTGTAAAGATCTTTGTTGAGTACATCAGCAAGAGACCAAGAAAAGACCACATCTATCAAGCCTTGACCCTTAGCCCCATTGGGTTCTGTCTTCTTCTTCTTCACAATTCTACTACTTCCCATCATCTTGCTTGCTTTCCCAAAATTATCTAGTCCAAGAAAATTAAACCCACTTTCACTCTCTCAGCTCAAAGACACTAAAAACCTGAAAAATCAAACACAGAATTTGGTTTGTGTATCGCAGAGAGAGAGAGAGAAGGGTTGCTTTCCATTGAAGTAAACAAGCTTGAATGAAGAAGGTAAGATAGCGTTGGGTAAGGTTTAGGTTATTGGTTTATGTTTACAAAATTTTTATAAATTATTTTTTATTTATTTTTAGAAAAACATAAATTATAAACGCGTTTGGTTTGAATAAAATATTTAAAAAATTTTAAAAGCATAAACTAAAAAATATATTTGTTCAAGTTTAAAATATTTATATTTATTTTTATTATTTATGACAATGGGATCACACACATTACAATTGAAAAAAAAAATAATTAAAAAAAATAATTGAAAAAAAATTATTTGATAAAAAATGAAAAAAAAAATTTAATTGAACAAAAAAATTATTTGAAAAAAAAATTATTTTAAAAAAATAATTGAAAAAAAAAATCATTTGAAGAAAAAAATTAATTGAAAAAAAAATTGAAAACTGAAAACGTAAACTCAATTTTTTGAGTTTACTTTTTTTCTCAATTTTATAAACTGAGACAACCATTTATAAACCAAAAAAATTGTCAAACAAATTTTTATGACAATTTTTTAAATTTTTATAAATATAAAGTGGAAACGAAATGGTTACAAACAGACCCTAAAGAAGCTGATTTGACTATTTTAATTGTCTTTTTACTTTTTATGAAAAAAAATTTAATAACTTGTAATTACTTTTGGATTAAAAATCTACGTCCCCAATCAAGGCCTAAGAACTGCGTTGCTTTGGTGTTAAGGTTCCAAAACTCCAATAATAGTAGTGTGAGTGTGTGGGTGTATGTGCTTGTAAAGAAGACGAAGGATCTACGACAGGGGAAGTGAAGTGGAAAGGTCATGACTATGAATGAGAATGAGAGGGAAAGTTCGGAGACCGTAGGAATTTGAAGTTCATGAGAATGTGAAAGGCCACAACCGAATCCATTTGGTTTTCTCCTTTGGAAACAAAACTAATGGAGGCTAGATATCCTAATGAATCTATACTATATATTAAGCAAAATGAGATTTTTAACCTCAAGTCTTGTGAGAGCTTTAATATGCTAATCTTAATTTCCTGATTTTTCGATTAAGAAAAAAAAACCTTAGCATTTATTGATTTGGTCAAAATCTCCTGATCAGCATTTATTAACTTTTTCCAATCCACATGTCTTTCCACATGCTTACATTTATTAATTTGGTCAAAATCCTTTAATCAGCATTTAAAATCTCCTCATACAAATAATTATAGATACAATCCATGTATAGTTATTGCAGTACCTATTTCAACTTCACTCATACACTATGATTAGTGATGAGATTATTAAATTATTTTTATAAAAAATCTTAAAAAACATAATTTATATATTAAAAAATCTAAAATAAATATAAATATATATAATTATTCCGTGCATAGCACGGGTGATAGGCTAGTTAAACATTAAAAAAATGACAATTATAATTGTTTAGACCGTAGTAGGAACAAAATTCCAAATAAATTGAAAAGGGACCCGTTGGAACAGTTAAGGAACTGTTTCACCTTTATTGTTTAAACCATTTAATATATATATATATATATATATATATGTAAGTCTTAGAATATACGGTTTATTTTTTAAAATACAATTATATATCATATAACTATTGATATCTAATCAAAATTTTCGTTTGCATGAATATTTTAATCAACAAGTTTTATATTAAGCCTCCGTTTGGGAAGTGTGTTGGCTTTTTAGCTTTTTTAACTATTTTAGCATGGGTTAAAAAGCTTGGTTTTGGAAGGACTTTTTGGCTTTTTAGACTTTTTTTGTGAAAAAATAGTATAATAATTATGGGTTAGATGTAATGTTTTTTTTTTTTTTTTTGTATGGTATGGCTAAAATAGTCACTTTAGCCCTTCCCAAACAATGCTTAAATTACAAATACAATCCCTAAGGCTTGTGTAAAATATAGATTGTCCATTGTGATATAAAAAATTACAAACATCTCATTATCAGAATTTTTTATTTAACATAATTAATTAAAAAATAAAATTCCTAACAGTTCTGCCATATAATAATAAAATTACTTAAATTATTAATTGAAATATATTTTTTACATTATTAAAAATGATTAATTGACTTGATAATTTATTAATAAAAATGGTCATTTGTTATGAAATTAAAAATCTCAAGAAATTGAATGTAATTTTCAGAATCATATAAAATACTTTATATTTTAATCAAATCTCAAAAAATGTATTTGTAATTTATCCTATTTTAAAAAATAAAAAATAAACAATTAGGCCAAAAGAGAATCCAAGGGCCATTGTTTACTGCATGATAAGTCATTTCAATTAAAAAGTAACAATTATCACATCATCGTCCGACTAAAAATTGGCATTGAAAATCCTTAGATTATAATCTTTTCCACTTCATCTTATAAGATAGTAACATATTACCGAAATTCAAAACAACATATGTATTTGTAAGTTTAACATATTTATTGTAATCCATGATTTTCATATTTATTATAAGCATATTTTATATGTAATTAACATATTTTTTTAAATACAAAACTGACCCATATAATAAGTATCACATGGTTTATCAACAAAAAAAAAAAAATTAACAAATAAAATGTACCCATATAATAATTAACATAATAGAAATTTAAGTACAATCATTGTTTGTAACCATGCTTACGATCGTCTTAAGTACAACCATAATGAAAAGTACTAATACAAGGATGATAATAGTAAAACAAAGAAATGCGTTACAAGGCACTTGACCAAGTCTGACATTCTGTACCCCACCATCATAGTCATCTACCCACAAGAACGAGCCCCTATAATTATGCCAATTAGGACAACGAAAAAAGTAATGACCATTGTTTGCTTGGGTGCGCGCCATAATCACCAACATTGGACCCCCACCACATGAACAATTTGGTGTCACCTTCATCTGCATGCACTTCAAATGAGCAATTCCATTTTCAAATTATATAAAATCAAACAAATTATAATGTCAAATATAAATAGATAAAAGTAATTATGAATAATCACATTGATTAAGTGAGTTTGTTTATTTTGTCTATTTTTAATTTAGCTAAAACTAATTACCAGTTGTAATCTATCTATTATTGTATGTTTCCCACATAGATACTGCAAGCTCATCTCTCCATTGTCCCATCTGCAATAGTTGTTCACGTGACATATTCACATGATTTTCTTGTTATGATTTTGGTACACCATCTTCATTTTCATTTACATTTTCAACTCCATCTTCACCTTGACCTTGACCTTGACCTTGACTTTTATCTTCTTCACTTGATTCTTCTACATCAAAAAATTCATCATGCTCTTGCACTGTACAAATCCAGTTATGGAGAATACAACATGCCATAACAATTGGCCCTTGGCATACCATATCATACCTTAGCATATGTTTTAATAATGGAAATTGTTGTTTCAAGACTTCAAAGATTCTTTCAATTACATTTCTCAAAAAAGAATGTCTATGGTTGAACAACTCTTTAGGACCATGATAGCAATGCTGCCTATTGAACTCCTACAAATGATACTTTTGAGCATAATATGGGGCTAGGTATCCAGGCATATTTGTGTATCCGGCGTCAATGACATAATATTTGTCTACAGTAAAGCACTCTAAATAAGAAAAAATCATGACATATTACTGTTCGCACTCACAAAAAACAACACTTACTAGGTGTCGGGTGTGGAAAGTCAGCGCTAGTTGTGGTAAGTGTTTCTAAAAAAATTCTCGAATCATGCGCACTACTTTCCCAACCAGTGTATACAAATATAAATTTCATGTCAAATGAACATACATCCATCACATTTTGAGTAGTATTGACTTTTCTACCTCAATATGGCATTTGGTTACCTTCTCGTGCCACAACAACAATATGTGTGCCATCTATGGCATTTACACGGTTCTATATCATTAACAAATTGAATGCTTTTAAGAGAAAAAAAAAAAAAGAATTTAACTAGAATCTTATATCCATTAAAAAAAATTCAAATAAAGAGTCATATCTATTACCTTAAACCATGGCCAGTAGCGTCTGTCATATCGAATTTCAAGAGAGATCATAGCCATGTTTGGTGGTTGTTTTATAAATGGTGCATGATTTCCAAGTGACCGCATCATAAGTACGAAATGCCGATCAATAGTCTCATTTGAGTGCTGAAATCAATCTCCAGCATTTCTTGTGCGTGAACTTTGACCACAAATAAATAACAACATAGCCAACGATTCTTCAAATGAAAATCTCATGTTAGACCAATCTACTGCATTTCGACGCACAATCTCTTTTACCAATTCCATAAATGTCGTGACTTCCATACACAATTGATTACGTATTGATTTTGGATTTCCACTCAGTAAGAATTATACGTATTGATCACCTGTGTATGGACAATTACGTTATGGTTGTTTCGTAGGCTTGTAAACCGTTAGTTAGCAAAGCATGTGGTAGTCCATTAGTGTCACGACCCAAACCCGACCCTATAGGTTTAGCACCGTAACCGGCCAGTAATCCGTGGATTACCAAAGGCCTCTGAACAGATTATCAAGTAATAAGGGGCTGCGGAAGCAATAATACAAAATAGACAAGGTCCAATGAGCTGTGACAACGTACATGGGATAGAAGATTTATATATATAAACATGCCAGTCAAGGACACCAATATTTACAGAGTATTACATCCCAAGACTTGCCTTTACAAACACATACAGAGACTAGCATGAATACAAAAAAAAAAAAAAAACAGCCATGGCTTAAACTTCGATCGGAACCTCCTCGGAGGCACAATGGTTGGCTAACAAAAACAATACGGAAGGCCGTCAACTCTGGCCCTGGTCAAGTGCCGGCTCACCTACATACATAATATAAACTGTGAGCGAAAGCCTAGTGAATAACAACAGAGTAAAGGGGTTATATGAATGATGTCCAACACAAGTTAGAATCCATCATTTAAATCAGAGCATAATCAGACCTCAAAACAGAAACAGATTCATA